TTGGCAAGCACAAGGGCCTGAATTCAATCCCTGGTTCCGCAAAAAAATAAAAAATAAATAAAAATAAAATAATAATAATAATAAAAGCTTTTTGCGTGCGCACACACACCCCACCCACCTTCCTTTCATACTGGCAAATGAACCCAGGACCTTAGCACTAGGTTATATCTACAGCCTGTTTTACAAGACAGGACCTTGTTAATTTGCCAGTTGGGTTTGAATTTGTGATTCTCCTGCTTTAGCCTCTGGGATTAAAGGGTTGTACCACCACGGGCAGCTCCTGCACTTTTCTTGATAGTGTATAACTTTATAAAGTAAGCCAGATGGCACTAGTTAACATGGGTAGAAGAGAGTGAGAAATCTTGTAGGAATTTAGGATCAAACCTCAGTCTCTGTACTTGCCTAAGCAGGTACTTTAGACCACTGAGCTATCTCCCAGCCTGAGACCATTTGAGAATAGTTAAATCCCTCTATTATGAAGGTAAGATAGTCCTACTTACACAGAATTACCATCAAAATGGACTTAAAACAGAGGTTGGGAATTTAAAGCAAAATAAAGACCCTGTAGTTGAAGGAATACTGTAACTCTTTGCTGTGTATAGTATAACTTTGTTTAATAAGAAACATGTTTTTTAAAACTATGTTAAGTACCTTGTTACAATATATTAATGTATATTTTTTCTCATGCTTAAAATGGCAGAATAAGAGGATTTTTGGTTCTGAATTAAGATCCCACAAATAATATAGTAGTCTCAGTTTAATGTAGAATTTAAATACTGAGCCCTAAGACTCGATTCCTAACTTTGAGAGATTCAGTCTGAAGGGCAGAGCTATAGGAACAGATACCCAAAAGACAGAATGTACAACAGACCAAACAGACTGTAGAGATGCAGAAAATAAATCCATTGGGTTTTGTGGAGCTTGAGTCACAGAGAATATAATTTTTGTTTCATATACTTTGGGAATATGTAACTTTTTTTATATATGTGTTTATAGTTGCTATATTCATGTTGGATTTGATCTTAGCACTGTAAAATGTCCCTCCATAGATAATAAAATTTTATTTAAAAGACTTGTTTGATATTAATAATCATAGCAGCTCATTTATGATTTCTATTTGCATGGTTTATCTTTCTGTGTTTTTTGGTTTTCATCTTTTCTATATCCAATCTAAAGTATATCTTCTGTAAACAGCATATGATTTCATGTAGTTTTTAAAATCTAATCTGAAAGTTTGCCTTTTGGTTGGATTATTTAATCCATTTATATTCAGTATTGCTACTAATGCTTTTTTAAAAAAAATCTGGCTTGTTTTTGTTTTCGGGGGGGGATCATTTTTTTTCCCTACCCTCTATTTTTGTAGCCTCCTTTTATTTATATTAAATCTGTTTTCTAATTTTATATTTCAATCCATTTGATTGTTCATATGCTCTTTAGCTATTTTTAATGGTTTTACTAGAGTTTCTGATATATATCTTAGAATCTTCAAATTTATACTTTCAGTGATACATAGAAGCTTTACTGCTATATAGTACTATTTTAATATATAGTGTACTTACATAGATCAAACTAATACATTTTCCATAATTATTTCATTGTTTTGCTTTTTGAGATAGGGTCTTGCTCTGTAATTAAAGCTGGTCCTAAACTCACTCTAGCTCAAGCTAGCGTTGAACTCAGAACAATCCTCTTGCGTCAGCCTTTCAAGTGCTGGGATTGCAGGCATGTGCCACCACACTCAGCTATTACTTTTTGTAACATAATGTATTTTAAAAATTCTAAGAGAAGAGGGACAAGTGCATATTTATAGACATTTCTATACTATCCTTATATTTTTGATTCTCTTTGTGACTTTGAGTATGATCTGTGTTATTTTCTCTCTGCCTCCTGTCTTTTATTGTCATGTGTATTATCTTTCTCTATTGTAGTCTTATATAACATTTTATGCAGTTGCTCTTTAGACCAATTAGGAGAAAGAAGAAAAAATGCTGTTCTACTTATCATCTTGTACAGTTGCCTACATAATTACCTTTTAGCAGTGCTTTCTATAGATTGGAACTATTATTTGGTGATACTTGCTTTTATCCTGAAAATTTTCCTTTAGTATTTCTGGTACATAAGTCTGCTAGTAAGGGATCCTCACAGATTTTGTTTAGCCAGAGTTAATCTGTATTTTGCCTTCATTCAAAAACCATTAAAAAAAGGTTTTGTTGAATTTAAGATTTGGTTGAGTTGTTTCATTTCCTCCACTTCACAGGTTGAAAGGCGTTTTTCCATTGCTTTCTGGCCTCCATTGTTTCTGGTCAGAAGTCATGGGTTAATCTTACTGGACTATCTACCAACGTGATATGTTGTTTTCAAAAATTTTTTTTTTATCTTGAATTGTAACATTTTTGTGTTCACCTGCTGGAAATTGTTAAGCATCATTTCTTTCTTCTTTTCTCTCTTCTTTCCTGGTTTTCTCATCATTTGAGTACTGATGAATTTATTAGTATACCTCTGTTCATTTTTCTCCATTATATTTTCTCATTGCTCTTTAACTTGCATAATCTCCATCTTTACAGTTGCTGATTTCTTCCTTTATCAGCTCAACTTTACTATTGCATCCTATAGTAAAATTTTCATTTCAATTATTTTTCATGTCCTAAATTAGAGCCTAAATTACACCCCAGGATGATAGTTGAAGTTGGGTTTGTTAGGGACAGATTGTTGCCAGTTTGTGAGGTTTCCTTTCCCTATCATAGGCAGAATTTTTTATTTTTATTTATTTATTTATTTTGTACTGAGAATTGAACTCAGGACCTTGAGCTTGTCAGACAGGCACTTGTGCTGCTGAGCTGTATCCTTGGCCCTCCTGGGCAGAATTTAAGGAGCAGTTGTGGGGACAATGTGGAACGTATTTTTCACTAGTATCTCACCAGCAGCCAGGTTAGAAGCCAGAGCTCTATGCGTAAGAGACATACAGATAGAGACAAACTGCATCTGTTTGTTGCCACCACCAGGTACTGTATCTTTCTGTGACCCAGTCAAGGGGAGGTTGGGATCTGCTGATGTGATAGGTCTTCTGTCTTGGGAAGACAAGAATACTTGTTTACCCAGCTGCCAAAACCGTTAGAGCAGCTCTCCAGCAGTATAGAACTGTGCAGGAAAGGGGACTGCAGTCTTTTTTGGGGGAGCGGGGGGAAGAGGGAGAATACCTTCAGTCTTTACCTACTGCTCCACTCAGATCTTCTCTGTGTAGCAGGAGGTGGGGCTAGGGAAACGCACGCCCCTGCTGCATACTGCTCAGTATAGGCCTTCTGCAGCATGGACCTGTGGAAAATAGGATCTGCCAGAGTCACCTGAATAGGTCTGTCCTCATAGGGAGCTGGGGTGTATGAGAATTGCCCTGATGGGAGATTGGCTGCTGAAGCGGTTATGTAATGCAGAGCTGGGAGGGGTGAGTGCAGGCCCTAGATGGACTACTGTATCCTTCTAGTTCTTACAGTTCTCATGGAATTTCTATAGATTTTGTTGAGTAAATAACAAATCTGGCATTTTGACTATAGTTTTATTCTGCCTGGAGCACAGTATAAAGGTGTGAACAAAGAAATAAAGTCGAAAAACAGTTTTGTTGGGCTCTGTGATTTACTTTGGTTTTCTGTGTGAATTTTTAGCCCAAGTTCGATATCTTGCTGTTTGTGGGAACAGGCTTTGGAGTGCCCTGCTTCAGAAAGGGCCTGGACCTTAGCTGGCCTTTCTCCATTAAAAAATTACTATTAGAAACACAAACCATGCCCCACAGAAAAGCAGCTGTCCTTAGACAGAGAGAGGCCCTGAAACATGCTGATGCCTGGCTGCCCATAGCAATATAGGGGAAAGAAAGAATCCTTATAAAAGGGGCTTTGCCAGATAGCTCAGTTGTTTAAAGAGCTGCTTGGGTAAATGCAGGCAGGCGCATAAGACTGTGGTTCAACTCCCAGCTCTAGAACTTATATGTGCCCTAGTGCTAGGCGCTCAGAGGGCAGGCATCCAGTAGAAGTGTCTCTCCCAAGTTTTCATCCATGCCCACATCTAATCACATGGGTGAAGACAGTTAATTGTTTTTTTTTTTTCTTATTTCTTACTGCAGTGCGCTTAGCCTCACTCTGTTTTTTTTTTTTTTTTTTTTTTTTGCTGGTACCGGGGATTGAACTCAGGCCCTTTCACTTGCCAGGGAAGTGCTTATTCTACTGAGACATCTCCCCGGCCCTCTTTCTTGTTTTTTATAGTGAGAATACTGACCAGTTAAATTCTCTGATTTTTATACTTTCATTGGTTGCATTACTATAGAATTATTGTTTGAAATGTGAATAAAAGTTTATTTTCTCACTGTGTTCATATAAAGAAGACGGTCACATTTAGTAGCTTTAAACGTGGTATTTGCTAAGATGAGGCCCATTATACATCACTTAGTTACCATATTCTTTCTCCAAACACTGATGATAACTAATATGTATGTGTGTGTTTGTTTAAAGGTATTTGAAGTGGTGGAACGTGTGGAAGAGTTAAGAAGGAAGTGGCCAGTAGCATGGGGGAAGTTAGATGATGGCAGCATTGGTGTGGTGACTCCATACGCTGATCAAGTGTTCAGGATACGTGCTGAACTTCGAAAAAAGAGATTATCTGATGTTAATGTAGAAAGGGTGCTAAATGTTCAAGGTAAATATTAATTGGAATCAGTTAAGTTATTCAGATGCTTCTTAGTGTGTTTATATTTGATTTTTAATTCTCTTTAAAGATCTTAGAAACTTTAGGTCATTTTCCTGGAGCAGGAATGACATATTCACTTCACACCAAAAAAAATTTTTTGTGATACTGGGGATTGAGCTCAGGGACTGACATTAAAATATTTTCAAACATTGAAAGATTTGTAATAGAATGAAGTGATAGATTACTGTAAGCAGAGCATAAGAAGAAAATGTGGGTTAAATCTGACTCTGGAAGGCTTCCTGGTGGGATTAGCAGTATTTGCCCTGATTGGCCAGAGGCTAGGTGACCCTGCTTCAAGAGAAGGTCCTTGTGTTTGATGGGACTTTGGACTAGATAATTTCAAAGGCTGATTCTAGCAGTTAGCATCCTTTATTGTGGTGAAATGCACATTGCATAAAATGTACCATTTTAACTTCTTTATGTCTACAATTCAGTGGCGTGAAGTACATCTACATTGTTGTGTAGCTGTTGTGACCGTGCATCCTCACAACTTTTTCATAAAAATCTGTGCCCAGTACCCAGTAACCCACCCACCCCCACAGCCTGGCAAACACTGTTGTACTTTCTGCCTCTGAATTTAACTTCTAGGTTCCTTGGCTAAGTAGAACTGCATGTTGAGTATCCCTCGTCTGAAATGTTAGAGATAAGAAGTATTTCAGATTGCGGAGCTTTTAGGTGTTTGCTCAACCTGTCTTTTTGTGGCAGGCTTATCTCACTTAGTATAACATTGTCAAGGTTCATGTATATTGCTCCAGATGTCAGACTTTCCTGCCTGTTTTTAGGCTGAATGATCTGTCATATGTACATGATACACTTACTCATCTGTTAATATGTCTGTGGACATTTGGGCTGCTTCTACCCAGCCACTGTGGGTAATGGCTGGTTCCCAACATGGGTGTGCATATGCTACTTCTTCAGCACTTTTCTTTCACTTCCTTTGGCTATGTTCAGAAGTGAACTTACTGTATCCTGTGGTCTTTTTTTTTTTTTTTTTTTTTTTGAGGAGTTGCCTCAAACTCAGTGTTTTCCAGAGCAGCTCTACCATTTTGTATTTTCACCAGCAGTGTACAAAGGTTTCCATTTCTCTGTATTCTTGCCAGTATATGTTGTTTAGCAACTTTTAAAAAATGCAATGCTTATATTACATCAGTGATTCAGATCAACAATCTCAAGTCTCTTTTTTCAAAATTTTTTTGTAGGAAAGCAATTCAGAGTTTTGTTTCTTAGCACAGTACGTACAAGACATACTTGTAAACATAAGCAGACACCAATTAAAAAGAAAGAACAACTTCTGGAAGATTCTACAGAGGACTTAGATTATGGGTTTTTATCTAACTACAAGCTTCTCAACACTGCCATCACAAGAGCACAATCCCTTGTTGCCGTGGTGGGAGATCCCATTGCACTGTGCTCCATTGGAAGATGCAGGTAATTATGTGTCTCTGACTGAGACATTAAAGGGGAGATGTGAAGTAATTTGTATTCTTTTGTATAATTTGTTTGCATGACCTCTCAGCTAGTTAAAATTAGAATTATTATTACTACCTGAAATCCAGTGATAACACAAAAGCCCATTACTTCGGGTCGATTTTATATATATATATAGTCATTCATTATTCGACAGACACCCATACTTCCTGAGGGCCTTCTATATCCTAAGCACTCTCTAGTCCCTGAAGATAGAGCAGTGAAAACAAAGGCATAAATCTCTGCCCTTTTGGGGCTTACGTTTGATCGGGTAGTAGGTAAAGACTGACAGCAAACTAAGGAGGAATGTTGTGTAGTATTTTACTTGATAAGTTTAAAATGGAAAAGAAACAGAACAACACTTAGTGATGTGACACACAGCCTGCTGTAGCACGCTCACATGCCATAGGTTAGTCACCACTGACTTAGAGCAATTGCAGGTGATGTGTGGGCCAGGCTGGTTTGTGATGTAAATATATGTTCAGAGTAGGTTTCCCTGAGAAGCTGACTTTGGAAGTGAGGGTGTGAGCTACAAATACATCTGGGGGAAAAGTGCTCTGGGTAAAGAGAGCAGCTTGAGGTGGTTTTGTGTCTGTGTGTGTATACAGGTGTCATTGGTGGGTATTAAATTTTGTATTGTTTGCTGCCTCCTTATCCTCTCTTCATTGTACTTCAGCTGCTCCACATGTAAACAATTTTTGTATCTCGTTAATTCAGAGGATCTTGAAATTAAGGGTTTAGAAGTAATTGTTTCTTGTCCTTGGATAGCATTGCTAGTATTCATTGGATTATAGTTAGGAGGAATAATTCTAACAATATGATTAAAATGTCAACTGGAAAGCTTCTCCATACACATGACTTAACACTCTTTTGTAAGAATTTTAACTTAATGAGGCTAGTAATGTAAGACCTAACCTGGAGTACTGAAAAACCATGTTAACATTTTTAATCTTTTTTTTTTGGTACCAGGGATCAAACTCATGACCTTGCTTTTGCCAGGCAGGTGCTTATGCAGCTCAGCTATCTCCCTAGCCCTCGTGTTAACATTTTTTTAAAAAAATTCAATAGAAATGCATGATATTCATTTATAAAGAAGAAATAGGTTGGGATTACTTAATATTTCATAAGTGTGGTAGCACCTGTCACAGTTAAGTTCAGAATAGTAAAAGATGTAGACAGTTCCAGATCAACCTTGAGTGTGTCTTTCTTTTTGATATGTTAGAATTAAAGTATAGACAAAGCTGTTAGACCATGGCTCTGAATAAAACACTTTTTCTGTTGCAGTATAGATATAACAGACAGCATTTTATTTTGTTTTTGTATACTAGCAGGAAAAAAAAATTCTATGGGAAAAGGGCAGTTCAAGAATAAGCTGCATGTATCAAACTTAAGACTCCAAAGGAAGTTGCTATCTTCTGTAAGGGGAAATATTAACAGAAAACTCAAGAACTTTAGTTTATTGGGAAAAAAAGACTTTTTTTAAACAATTGAGCTCTGGGCTGGTGAGATGGCTCAGTGGTCTAAAGCACCTACTTAGAACAAGCTCAGCAAAGCACAGGGACCGCAGTTCAATCCCCAGCACCACATGCCAGCCAGCCCCGCCCCCTGGTGGGCTGAGCTGGCCACACACACACACACACACACACACACAAATAAATAAATAAAATAAATTTAAAAAACAAACAAAAAAAACAATTGAGCTCTTAGGGTTCATGACTTTAAATAGTTCAGTTGTAACATGGCCTGTCTTTCATGGTTGAAAAGTAAGTTGACATTCATTTGTAACCATTACTGACAAAACTTGGGGAAAAGATTATGTTAATTCCAAGTTACAAAATAGAGCTAAATATATTAAGGAGTACACTAATTCTACTCTCATCCCAAGAATTTAACTTTAATTATTTTACATTGAAAGTGTATTTGGTTAGAATGTTGCTGTGGTATTTTACCACTTGTGTTTATATGTATGATTTGATAAGTAAAAAAGCATATATAGTTTGGTTAAAATTTATTATATAAAACAAACATATGGAGAGATGATGTGTATTAACACTGTTGAGGTACTGTTGGAGCAGCACACAGGGCTTGGAGTGGTGGAGCCTCAGTACTTCTGGGCCCTCCTTGTAGATAGCTCCAAATACGTACCTTCTTGGATCTGTTTGTAGAGTCCACTCCCCCTGCCTAGAGTCAGAGCACACTGACTCGCATGAGATCAGCGTTTTTCACCTCTCTCTGATGTAAGTTGTTACTTTCTCAGAGCAAATAGGTGAGGAGTATCTTCTAAGGCTGTGCTGTTATAATTATCCAGGGCTGATTTTTAACTTGAAACTGAGTCTGTTGATAGCTCAGTTGCAGTGCGCCTTGGACTGCTGATCAATCTCTATGCTAAGCAAAATATTTTCAGGAGTAATAAATTGGAAGTATCATTGGTTCCATTGTTAAATGAGAATGTTGATTAACAGTTTTAGTTGCACAGTTTGTGGCTCTAGCTCAAGAGTTGATAGTTGAAGCATACATACACTTAAATTTTAAGCTTAGTAATTTTGCTAGAAATTAACATAATCTCACAGTGCAGGTAAACCGAGAAGATATAGTGTGATCATCTAATCCTATAAGAATGGAGGAATGAATTCTTCATGGTACAAATTCATTAGGACTTCCCCTCCAGTTTTCATTCAGTATTTACAAAAAAATTAATGTCATAATCCCAAGTATCAATCAAATTTTCAAGAAATAATTACTATATATAACGCCAGTTTATTTTAAATCTTTATTTATTTGGTACGTGGCATGTGGTGCTGGGGATCGAACCCAGGTCCTTGTGCTTACCAGGCAGGCACTTAGACCACCAAGCTATCTCCCCAGCCCTATAACGCCAGTTTAAAAGTCAGTCATATATTCTTCATTTTTAAACAAGTTTTCTATTGTTGGGGAACTGCCCTTTTCACTTCCCAGACTAGCATGCTAATGTGTGGCGGGTTGCCTTTCACTGAAGGCTTTCTCTCAGCCAGGTGCGGCCAGCAGCCCTTTGCTTGGCACACGCCTCCTTCAGTTACCTTAGCAACCCTGCAGGAGGCTATTTTATTTGCATTTTAAATGGAGGCCTGATTTAGAGATTTTAAATAATGCCCGGGGCCACACAGCCTTTCGTGCTGTTCGCTGGAACAGATGGCAGGTTGACTTCGAGACTCAGAGACTCCTTCTCAGGGTTGTGCTGCCTTTTCCAGGAAGTGATGAGTGTGTGCCTCAGGTCTGCCCTGAATGGGGCGTGGGGAGAAGGGAACACCCTCTCCAGACGACGTGGACTCCACTGCCTTTGGTGAGGGCTTTCCTTCCACTGAATCTCATCAGTACTTTAATGAATGCAGCGGCTTCATGGAGAAGATATGTGTACGCATACACACACACACACACACACACACACACACACACACGCAGTATACTTAAGGACATAAGTGATTTATTTTTAGTTATTGCTCTTCAGTGATTATCAATGACCTTAGAAGCAAGATTTATATAAAATTTAAATTAAGCCAGGCATCGTGGCACACTTCTATAATCCCAGCACTCTGGAGGCTGTTGCAGGAGGATTGCTGCAAGTTTGAGGCCAGTCTGGGTTACAAAGAGAGTACAAAGCCAGCCTAAATGGTATGGCAAAACACTGTCTCAAAGAGACAAAAATATAAACAAATAAAACCAAGCTTTGTGTTCGTGATTTTGTTCAGTGGTGAAGGTTGTGTCCCTTGAAATACCTAAAATTATAATTGTAATACTTGGGTTCCTTAACCAACATTTCTAATAGAAAACGGTGATTAACATAATAATATGTTAACATTTTAGGGCAGGTACTGAGAATTTATGAAGACTTCTTAGTTATGAGGGTAGTTGAACTTCTGAAGTGATCTTAAAATTATATATGTTCAGAAATGCCTCAGTAGGGGCCTGGGAAATGGCTCAGTAGAATAAGCGCTTCACTGGCAAGTGCAAGGGCCCGAGTTCCACCAAAAAAAAAAAGAAATGCCTCGGTAAAGTTTTGGAAATGCAGTAGCAGGCTTTCTCCAAGAGGAAAACAAAAATTTTGGGTTTAAAACTAAGACTTTTTAAAAGAAAACCTTTTTCTGAATACATAATTAGAAGTAAGAGATAATCTTTTTAGTAATAAGGAATAATGGTGAAAATATTGCTGGTGCCCTATTATACACATGAGAAAATAGAGCTGGAAAGAGAAGTTAAATAGTTTGCTCAAAGTTAATACAGTTACAGGGTGACCTAGGGACAGCATTGCCTTATCAATGGAAGAATAAGAAAAGTCAGATTTGGTTTCGTTTTGAGACATGATTTCACTCTGTAGTTCAGATTGACCTTGAACTCCCTTATGTATCCCAAACTGACCTTGAACTGTGTCAGCCTCACAGAATGCTGGGATTACAGGTGTGTATCACCACACCTGGCCAGAAAAGTCAGATTGAAAATATAAATTTCAAGCTACTTTTGGAACTTGGATAGGAATAGGGCGTGGAGTTTAAGAAAGTGACTTAAAAATGAACCAGTTGTAGCATTTGGTTATTTGCGTTAAAAGTGAAAAATAGGTAATATGGAATCGAACTTTTGACTAGAGTATGTAGCATTGTGTTGATAAATATTTATACAGTTCAATGCTGTGAATATTCCAATAAAAAATGGGGAAGTTAGGATTTTAGACCTTGGCTGCTATTCAAGTTACTATGAGGAATTAGAAAAAGACCCTTCTCCCTGCCCCCAGGGTTTTATTGCCAGTACTGTGGATAGGGTTCTTAAGAGTAAAAATCAATGGGCTGGGGATGTAGCGTAGCAGCAGAGTGCCTGGCTGACAAGTGCAAGGCCCCGAGTTCGATTCTCAATACCAAAAAAGAAAATACTAAAAATACATCAAGTACAGCTTTTCAGTGTACATTTCTTAGTAACTATTTTGTTAGTCTTTATGCTTTATGGTTAGCAACGTACATTTAATGTTTTATAATGCATTTGCTTGTCATTTTATAATCAGCCTGCTCAGGAAACTGCAAGGGACCGGTCTTTTTTTTTTTTTTTTTTTTTGCGGAACCAGGAATTGAACTCAGACCCTTGCACTTGGTAGGGAAGCACTTATTCCACTGAGTCATCTCCCCGGCCCCACGTTTACTTATCATTTTGCTTACATATGAGCCTAAATTTTTTTGGTGGGGGGACCTGTTTTTTAAACTCATTTTAAAAATTAGAAGGCATTTGTAAGAGAAACAGTTGAAAAAAAATTTTTTTTGAAAGATTTTAAGCACATTTTATTTTATTTTATTTTATTTTCAAAGTTTTATTGATAAACATATAGCAATGAGACAGTTTCAAATCAAATCGAAAGTACAGTTTCAACAAATAATACACTGCATACATTCTTCTCAGTGGTTAATTGCTGTACAAGATGCAGACTTGTGATCCTACTTACAAACACCATTAGAAAAAATCATTCTATTCATTAAGAGAATGCAACTATATATCTATCCCAACCACTTTGAATACACAGATACAAAATGGACATTCATAGTTATACCCCAATTTTTTTTAAGTTCCGTTGTTGAATATTATAGGTGTGTAAACTCAGCAAAATATTCTAAAAGAGTACAGAAGCCCATAATATCATTGGGTTTTCTGTTTAACTGGCAATGTCAGAAATTATTGACCTGAGGGGGCCTGGCCCTAGCTCAGGCCTTTAAGTGGCTGCTTCCACAAAGCTGTCAGCCTCAGGTTGCTGGAGTTCGAACCTCACACCTCTCCCACTGGCCAAAAGTGCCCTGAAGGCATTTGAGGAACAAAAAAAAAAAAAAAATTATTGACCTGAGTCCCCCACAGCTCAACATAACAACATGGCTTTACTTCCTATATTTCATCTTCATACTTTTCTACTGGATGGTTAAGACCAAGGTAAAGCAGGACCTGTGCAACAAGAGTTGTAGCTTTTTGGTCTGAGAAGGTCAGTGAAATGCCCTCAGGATTTATCTTGAGATCCTGTACCTCAGATTGTAGAACCTTTGTCAGTGTCAGCCATGTGGATGAGTCATGGCCAATGCTTGGCCTATGTGCTCTCTGTGAAAGCCTGAGAGAGTGTCTTCTCCCCATGTGACTCTCCTTAGGCACACTCTACGTCATCGATCACTTTCCTCTTTGGCCCCATTATCTTCTTGATCAGAAAATTTGGGACACTACCGAGGTACATGACGTTACAGTACAAGTTCTCATATGTCCTGAGTCTTAATTGACCTTAGAAGGATAGGGCCAAAATGTTGGCTTTCCTTGTAGCCCTCCTTTTTCTCTAATTTTGGTCTGCAAACTTAGGTTGTTAACCATCCAGAAGACAAACTTATTGTTACTATCAAATGATTTACGCTATCAAGCTTAACCTCACTATCTCACTGCATTTCAAACATCTTAGGCATAATAAGGAACAGGTATTTTTCATCAAGTATTGATATGTTGAACCGTAAGTCCCTACATAATATGATAAAGAACATTTAAAAATTAGATTATATTTTAACAATAGGATAAAGAATTCTATGCTTCTCATGTTTGCACATAAGTCCAAAAATCTCACCATATACACAGTTCAAAATTAAGCTCAGCAAAGTTTGATGAGTATATGAATAACCCAGTTCCTGCTCAAATACTCAGTTTTATAATCTAAACCTTTTCGTTTATGCTTCTTGATCACCTACCTACCCTGTACCTGGACATAGGATATCAGTTAAAGAAGCCATATCACCTACCTTCTATAATATAGTAAAATATTATTGGACTTCATATTAAACATAGATATGCGCATTTATAGTCACTTATTATAAAACTTCAAGTGTTGTCTTTCATAATATGTATTTAATGCTTTTAGTTGGAGGTCAGTTTTCAGATTTTTTTTGTGTGTTTGGTACTGGTTATTGAACTCAGGACCCTGCACTTGCCAGGCAGGTGCTTATTCTACTGAGCTGTCTCTCTGGCCCATTTTTCAGATTTTAAAGAATGACAGTATGTATTTGTAACAAGTCTTGAATATATTTTCCTTTGTCATTTATTACTTTGATTGGTTAATCAGTAATCAACCTTAAAATTAGTATTCCAACTTAATATATTTTCTTTTTTTTTTCTTGTATTTTAGGGAAAGGTCTATAGGGTGTTCAGGGTCTCACTATGTAGATCAGACTCATAGTAGTTCTGCTGTTTACAGCCTCCCAAGTGCTGGGATTACAGGCACGCAACACCATGCTCAGTCTCAATGGCCTGGCTCAGCACGCCCTGGGGGCAGGGCCAGGGCCAGCATGGCAGGCTCAAGGATTGAACCCCTTGAACCCTGGCCTCTGCGCCTGCTTGCAGATACTTTAATCCACTGAGCTATTTGGCCAGCCCACATGTATTTTCTTTTTTTTATTTTTT